TTTTATTCTTTCCTTGAAAATCTGCATGGAAATATACTTCAAAAATTTTGCTTGAAAATTGGAGGGGAAATTTTTGTCTTTTGTCTCTTCATGCAGGATTCAATTTTGATTCACATTTCTTGGAAATTCAGTAACAATTAAATGTTCAAACAGATGTTGATAATGATGTTAGTTCCTTCAAGTTATAGAGTTGTCGTATATTTCTAGATTAAACAATCATCTTGAAAATTATAGAATTTGATTTGATTCGCAAATCGTCGTGATAAATTGTTTGATTTTGGCTAATCAAATGGGGTCATTTTGAATCTGCTTAAATTGAACCGTATGTCACTATACCTTCACCATTAGCCCTGCCCCATTCACTATATATATACGTAGAACAAAAAGTTAAGCGCCACTAACTTTAATTCAGTATATTCTGGGACGTTGCATATGTCGTAGAGACCCTCCTGTACAAACTGTAACTTAGTTGGATGCAGCATTGCATCGGGAGTGGCAGCAAAACAGGACATTTAAAGACGGATGAAAAACAGATAGTTTGCATTTAGGGATATAAAGACAATATAATGTACGATCATCCACTTCCTGTTGTTGATTTTTTCACGAATACATATTGTTTTCAACATTAGGTTCTAATATATATATCTCTGTTATCAAGTATGATTGTGAATTGCATTCATTTGCGAAACAATGGTTCAAAATCAGGTGGTGCTGAACTTTTTGTTCTAGGTATATATATATATATAATCTATCTACCATTCCAATAAATATTCTTTTCTCATTTCTAATATATTTATTTCTTATAAAGATTCAAAAGAAGTTTTCATGAATTGATTTCTAGTAGACTTATTGTTCTTCTTTTTACTGTGAATGGTATTAATCACAGTCATGTTTGATTTGGTTGGGTTTTAAAGTAAGAAATAATCATTTTCACCAGCTGATCCTTGTCCAAACCTCTTGGCATTGGTCTTCCCGGATTATCTGTACCCATTTACAGCTGGGTCGACTGGGATAATGAGGAAAGTTGACTTATTCCATGTCATCAAACTTTCATATGCCGACCCAAAATTAAAACCCATGACTAGCATTTGTTTGACGTAAATAGAAGCTATAAGCTCTCCCTGATACATATAAAATCTCTTTTGAATCTTTTTAAAACTATTTATAAATGTATATATCATCTTGAACTATCTTTCTAATATAATTATGTATATGAACTGAAAGGATTATCTCTTTGATAAAAATTGATGAACAAAAAATGAATAAATTTATCACAACTAAAACTTAAAAACAACTGAAAAAGTTGAATTTTATTTTAGTCAATTTTTGTAGAATTTCATGAAAGGCTTTGTGTCAAGCATCAAACCCATATACAGGTCAGGAAAATAGATCTAGAGACAGGCCTTGAAATATCTGAAGATTGGGGTAAAGCCATTGGGGGGAAATTTTCTGGGTAAGAAATTGATTTAGAAAAGAAATAAAAAAAAACCTTTAATAGACTGGTGACCTAAAACAAGAGAGTTATTAACATAGTCGTACAGGCTGAAAGACTGACTTCTCTTTTTTGAGAGGTTATAAGTGTTCCTAATGAACACAGAAATATTATTAGTAAGTAGAATATAGACTTAAAGTTTCCTCTAAGTCCCTTTTAGTCATTTAACATGTAGGTTAGAAATAGAAATATTAAAACAGAACTTGATTCATGTTGTTACTCAGAGTTTCACACAATGGGATCTTCAGAAAACTGATCTAGTTCAGCATGGGTCTCTACTGAAGTTTGACAAGTAGAGATCTTTAGACAACTAATCTATGTTAGTCTGTGTACCTACTGAAGTTTGACAAGTAGAGATCTTCAGACAACTGATCTATGTTAGTCTGTGTACCTACTGAAGTTTGACAAGTAGATATCTTTAGACAACTGATCTATGTTAGTCTGTGTACCTACTGAAGTTTGACAAGTAGACATCTTTAGACAACTGATCTATGTTAGTCTGTGTACCTACTGAAGTTTGACAAGTAGAGATCTTCAGACAACTGATCTATGTTAGTCTGTGTACCTACTGAAGTTTGACAAGAAAGATCTTCAGACAACTGATCTATGTTAGTCTGTGTACCTACTGAAGTTTGACAAGTAGAGATCTTCAGACAACTGATCTATGTCAGTCTGTGTCCCTACTGAAGTTTGACAAGTAGAGATCTTTAGACAACTGATCTATGTCAGTCTGTGTACCTACTGAAGTTTGACAAGTAGAGATCCTCAGACAACTGACCTACTGACCTATGTCAGTCTGTGTACCTTCTGAAGTTTGACAAGTAGACATCTTTAGACAACTGATCTATGTCAGTCTGTGTACCTACTGAAGTTTGACAAGTAGAGATCTTTAGACAACTGATCTATGTCAGTCTGTGTACCTACTGAAGTTTGACAAGTAGACATCTTTAGACAACTGATCTATTTCAGCCTGTGTCCCTACTGAAGTTTGACAAGTAGAGATCTTCAGACAACTGACCTATTTCAGCCTGTATCTCTACTGAAGTTTGACAAGTAGACATCTTCAGACAACTGATCTATTTCAGCCTGAGTCCCTAATGAAGTTTGACAAGTAAAGATCTTCAGACAACTGATCTATTTCAGTCTGTATCCCTACTGAAGTTTGACAAGTAGAGATCTTCAGACAACTGATCTATTTCAGCCTGTATCCCTACTGAAGTTTGACAAGTAGAGATCTTCAGACAACTGATCTATTTCAGTCTGTATCCCTACTGAAGTTTGACAAGTAGAGATCTTCAGACAACTGATCTATTTCAGTCTGTATCCCTACTGAAGTTTGACAAGTAGACATCTTTAGACAACTGATCTATTTCAGCCTGTGTCCCTACTGAAGTTTGACAAGTAGAGATCTTCAGACAACTGACCTATTTCAGCCTGTATCTCTACTGAAGTTTGACAAGTAGACATCTTCAGACAACTGATCTATTTCAGCCTGAGTCCCTAATTAAGTTTGACAAGTAAAGATCTTCAGACAACTGATCTATTGCAGTCTGTATCCCTACTGAAGTTTGACAAGTAGACATCTTCAGACAACTGATCTATTTCAGCCTGAGTCCCTAATGAAGTTTGACAAGTAGAGATCTTTAGACAACTGATCTATTTCAGCCTGCATCCCTTCCGAAAATTTCCGCAGCTTTCAGTTTGAATAAAAATATTTAGCAGTTCAGTAGCAATCACCAGTATGAAATATTTAACCTTCAGTCATACACTTCTTTTGAACTCTTTAGGGCGATACTTAAGCAATAAACTGTTACCCTATGGTGGTTATGGTTGTATATCAGGACAAAGGTTGGCTGGAAAATTAATCATAAATACACTAACGCGCATATATTCGATTTTCCAGCCAACCTTCGTCCTGATATACGACCATAACTGCCATAGGGTAACAGTTTATTGTTATATTTACCTTTTCAATACATTCTAATTTGATACAAAGACTTTAGTATGAATTTAAGTAGGACCTATTTCTTTACGATTCAACGTTTGAGACTACCGACATGATTGTTTACATTGGAGACCGTCTATTTCATACAATGACGTCAATGAATAACGACGTCATTGATTAAAATTACTACGCCTAATGCTAATGTTTTGGTAATGAGGCAATGGCGTTTATGGTGAAATTAACGCCACACAAAAATATTGAATGTGTTTCCAAAATTCTTGGTTGATTACAAACACTTACACCAAGTTCTGTCAAATTCTTTCAAGAATTGTGCCTCTTAGAGTGTTTACAGGCAATTATGGACGGATATGGGTGATGTCAATATACGAATATAAAAAGTAATACTTGTTCTCGTGTCTGAACGTTGAGACAAATGATTGTTTAAAGAAGTATGAATACGTTGGTTACTGTACAACCATGCTTATTAATTTATATCAAGAAATAATGAGATAAACCTACTCGTAAACTTTTACCAGTGATCAACCTGGAAATCTAAAAACATAATCCAAAATGTAACAACAAATATAATGTAAATAATACCATAGAAAGCAAAATAATAAAAACTTAAATTTGAAATATGTTTAAAGTGAAAAAAGAATTAGAAAATGTGACAAAATCATAAAAACTACAGAGAAATATTCAAATTAAAAACAATTATCGAAATGTTTGCTAATGTTAGATAATTGATTAGAGTTCATTTCATACTGCCAACACAATTTCAGATATATAATCCTCATCAGGACAGCTAGTTTTAGACATGGGGGTTAACTTTCCAATATAAAGTAACACAGGCTGCGTATTCTAGCAAGGATTCTAACGATTGGATGTCCACGAAACAGTGTTAGAGGTTACGAACTTGGGACATCCTAACATTAAGATCATTTCGAGAATACGTGGCTAGGACAGTTAGCCAATATCGAAGTAAACTCTGAGTAAGCTGAAGATTTAGCAGTTTTATATCAATGTCAATACTTACTGTTGAATCTTGAGACCTTCGACAACATTTGGCACAACACACTGAGATGCTGTTTTTTAATCGTCGTAGTTGTATGAATATTAACTGCAGAAACATGAGAAGATAACTGATACAGGTAAATGGAGCTGGTAATCTCAGTCGTTCTTCAAAATCAACAATCAGTCCGTAACGCTGGTATTTCCAGATCTCTAACGCTTCTTTTGATACTTGAGCATTCGTGGCACTGAAACACAAATTGTTACATGTAAAATTATATTACCTTTGTCAAGGCACATTTGAAAACAAAATCTAAAAATTTGACCTACATGGTTTCTGTCATTCTCAAGAAACTCAGAATGATGGAATTATAGTAAATATTTCACTGCTTGAGTTACAGGAAATATAGATGTCAGTTCTGAAAGAATGGTGCAAAATAGAAGCTGCAAGAGTCCCAGATAATCATATAAAGGGAAGAAAACCCCTTTTCAATCTCTAAGGACCAGCTGGTAGACGGGATTCTATAGATACTAAGTTGTTATCCTTGTAAAATCATTGTCAAGAGGTATAGTCAGGGACCAGCTGGTAGACAGGATTCTAGAGAAACTAAGTTGTTATCCTTGTAAAATCATTGTCAAGAGGTATAGTCAGGGACCAGCTGGTAGACAGGATTCTAGAGATACTAAGTTGTTATCCTTGTAAAATCATTGTCAAGAGGTATAGTCAAGGACCAGCTGGTAGACAGGATCCTAGATAAACTAAGTTGTTATCCTTGTAAAATCATTGTCAAGAGGTATAGTCAGGGACCAGCTGGTAGACAGGATCTTAGAGAAACTAAGTTGTTATCCTTGTAAAATCATTGTCAAGAGGTATAGTCAGAGACCAGCTGGTAGACAGGATTCTAGAGAAACTAAGTTGTTATCCTTGTAAAATCATTGTCAAGAGGTATAGTCAGGGACCAGCTGGTAGACAGGATCCTAGAGAACCTAAGTTGTTATCCTTGTAAAATCATTGTCAAGAGTTTTAGTCAGGGACCAGCTGGTAGACAGGATCCTAGAGAACCTAAGTTGTTATCCTTGTAAAATCATTGTCAAGAGGTATAGTCAGGGACCAGCTGGTAGACAGTGTCATTCTGAACCTAAGTTGTTATCCTTGTCAAAAAAAATAGTTCTCTTTCTTTTCAATTAATACATAAAAATTGAAAACTCACCTAAACATAGCAAAGAGTAGGGTAACTAGAATTAGTTTGGTAATCAACAAATACTGAATAACAATAAAATATCCACCAAAACTACTGTATGGACATTCTTCTAGCCTGCTGTGGTCGGCCACTAGAAAAACAACATCATCAGGTGAAATCAAAATTAAATATGAAACATGAAGACAGGCAATGCAACGCAGTGTGCAATGTTGGAATTTTAACTGGGCATTAGCATAAAACCTATGGTGTTTTTTTTTTTGCATTTCCAACTGTGAAGGGAGTTTTGACATGTTAAAAATTGGAAGAGAAAATAAAAAATTACTCACAAGTAAAATGAGAAGGGGCTGAAAAAAAAAAGTTCAGAAAATTATTTTTGTTCCAATTTTTGTTAAAATGTTAAATGTAAAATGTAAAATGTAAAATGTTAAATGTTAAATGTAAAATGTAAAATGTAAAATGTTAAATGTAAAATGTAAAATGTAAAATGTAAAATGTTAAATGTAAAATGTAAAATGTAAAATGTAAAATGTTAAATGTAAAATGTAAAATGTAAAATGTTAAATGTAAAATGTAAAATGTAAAATGTAAAATGTAAAATGTTAAATGTAAAATGTTTAAATGTTAAATGTTAAATGTAAAATGTTAAATGTTAAATGTAAAATGTAAAATGTA